TAGTTCAACTACGATACGGGTTGCCATAGATTAGAGTGGCATGCAGTTTATGCCATATAACCTTCAAAATACTATTTTTGATTTTATGAATATCCATGTTTCTTTTTTTTTTATTAATCCCTTTTAAATTCGTTTGAACTTTGTGATTGTAATTTCTAATTAGAACATCAATTTGTTTAATCTCAATATTTATTTTAATGAGCTTGTTATGCGGTTTCTGTTGGCGTACATTTTTTTCAAAATTTTTTCATTCATTCAATCTTATTATTAATATTACTATACCATTGGGTAAATAATAATTGAGCTTTGGTGAAATTTTCTACTGGCAAGCCCCAAGTCAACAGATTCACACGTTGAAATTTCGAAGAAATTTTTTTACCATACTTTGTTCTTCAGTGCTTTGAATCTTGATCTGAATTATTAATAAGCGATACTTTTGTGTAATTATTTTTTTTCATTCATTAATTCTTACTTTTTTTTTACCATCTCCTTTGGCTAACTCCACTAAGATGAGGGATTGAGAGCCATTACCCATTACCTTGATCACAGGATTGTAAGGCTCCCATTTTTAGAGGATAAAATTAAAAAAATGGCTACGACCATTTTTTTGTAGATAATAAGCATACAAAATCATTCATTTAATACAAAAAACATGTCGCAAACTTATTGTTTAATTATTGTTATTTATTAGTTATTAATAGATATACCCAATATTAATTATTTATATAAGAAATAATATATGAATAAAAGTATGCGAAACGCACAAACCATAATGCATTAGACACACTATTTGTTATTTTTCATATCAATGGTGATTTGGAAAAATTGTTTCTGAGGATAAATCTGCCAAAATTCTATCGCTGTCCTGAATCGCTGAACCTGTGATAAATTGCTGATAAATTCTTTCTATCAGTTATATCTCCTAATTTTCATATTTTGATGTTATATAATTCATTTTCCGATTGCTAATTGTTGCTTTTCTTATTCCAACAAATTCATCGGCTTCAATGTATTTTCAATATAACAATATTATTAGAATTTTAGAAATTTTATTGAAAAAATTTTTTATAATTATTAAACAATTATCAAACAAAATATTAGAACAAAAATTATTTTAAGAAAAGAGCGAACTAAAAAATTAAAAAAATCAACTGTAGTTATTAAAGAAGCAGTAGCCATTACAGCCCTAAACAAAACAAGAAATACATATTGTAAAGTCGAGACAAAAAGAAAATTAAATTATTCGAACTTTAAAAATAGGCGTATATTCGAAAATGAAAGTGCTGAATAAAAACATTGTTCATTGGCCTAATTTTACCACTAAATAGATCACTGAATCATTGAAAATGCTTAATAATGCCTTAAATCAGGCTCATAACCCAATTACTTCACCCAAAATTGCCTTTCATTACTATTTAATTGTCATCTAAAAAATTAATTATTTATTAGGATTTGTTAGAATCATTATTACCATTCATACTATCACATTATTGCTATTATTATTATTGTTGCATTGTCTATTATAAAAAAAATAAACTATAACTTTTTTAAAAGTTTAAAATGCATTTATAAGCTGGTAAAAAACTGATATTATGCGATGAAGAAATACAAAAGAAAGCAATCGGAACTTTGCTATCGTCATAGGTCGATGCTTATGAAAGATGGACACTTTTTTTGCCTAAATTGTGTAAGAAATTTAAATTTGAATTTTTGTTTAGGGTTTTTAGGATATAAGTTTTAATCTTTTCGAAAGAAACTTTGCCAAAAAAATTCAAACAGAAAAGTAGGAAGATTTTAAATGAATTTCATTTGTCTTGGTGAGTCACGTCTTCCAAAGTCTCCCCTGGGTGTATTCAGTTGTCTAAGACTTTACATTTTAGTAGAAAGCATCATTAGAATTGTTTTCAACAAAACCATTATCCAATAGAAAGGCATATAAGATTTCAGTAATCATCCATTTTCGTAAAATTATCCAATCAGCTTAAATTCTTCCTCTTTTGAATTAAAATTAAAATCTCATTGTGAAGCCATTCAGTAATTATAAGGAATTAAAAGGCAAATTTATATGCTAGCGATCAGGGAAAAATATAAGAAATACATTGAACCTTTTTAAACTAATCTTTCAGTTTCAGAAGAAAAATTTATAATTGTCTTTCAGAATCATTGAAATTCGACTACTCTTTTCCGGAATCTGAAACTGAAAATTGGCAATCGAAGATTCCGAATCTTTTCCGGAATTTCTTTTCCAAAATTTCTTTTCCATTAGCCGGATAAAGTCAAAAAAAATTTATCGACGATAAAATTTTATAAAATTTCTACCAATGAAGACAGATTTCTCACGAAATGTAATTTTAAAGAATATGGTTTAAACAGTTCTTTGGATTCTTTGGATTTTTGGATAGATGGCACAACAGCTTTTATAGTAGCGTTGCAAAATAACTTAATATGTCAAAAAATTACAACTATAAAAATTTTCAGCACAAAGCAAATATTATTTCATAAAGTGAATTGCATTTGTCCTTTAATTAAATAAGTTTTTTAAAATTACTGTAGAATATGAATAGATTTAAATTTTTGCAAGTTCATCAAGTTCATTAACGAAAGGAAACTACTAAAAAAACAATCGTATTTGCATAATTTCCCTTTCATTTAATTAAATTATTTTTACAAAAATTTTCAAACTCCTTGAATTAATTAAACAATTATGTAGCTAATTAAATTAAATAAAAATGAAATTAAATAAAAAATTAAATAATAATTGAAATGAACAATTTGAAATATTTATAAAATTGAATCAAAAATTAAATGAAATTGAAGATAGTAAAAAATAAAACAAATTCATGGACAAACAACTGGGAAATTAAAAAATTTCGTGATATTTTTATATAAATGAAGTGAAATTTACTTATAAAGAAGGAATGCCACGGCCTAATGGCTGTTTCTTATTAAGGCCGATCCATCATAGGCTTGATTCCTCTTCATGGAAATAGACCATTAAATCCGTGTTATGCTAGGGTCTTACTCGTAATTCTCTCTTCAACTATCTCTCTAGTGAAGGCCTTAATATGAGCCCACTAGCCAGTGAAAAAAAAAATGTGTGAGATTCTACTTATATTGCCATTAATAAAGATCAGAAAAATCGAAACCTTTAGAATTGAAGAACGCTACATTTTTGAAAGGAAAGGGTAATGCCTGTCCAACTGGCTATTCTGTTGTGGTCCTCCTGCAATGGAGATAGGCTATCAGTTCTACCACGAGAATTAAATTTTACAATCATCAGCATAAAGATAAGTAGAATTATGTGACACAAAAAAATTCAAAGCGATCTTAATTGCGAATCTTTTTTAGACAAATAAATTATCATTGTCCATTTTGGTTTTGATGAGTATTTGCCAATAAAATTTTATCAGGATTTATCTAATTTAAAATTAATTTATGGTTTCATGCTGCTTTTACAATAATTTTAATTGCAAATTCCTTATTCCTTATAAAACTAATTGTGTGATAAAGTGCGGTAAGAAATAATGAACCACTTCTTTTGTTTCAATCTTGGGAAGCCCACCAAATTTTCTAAAAATTTTAGAAATAATGAAAAAATCTTGTAAAAGAAGGCAATATTATTTACATATCTTTATGATAAATCCCGAAATAAGCATGAAATTTTTAAACTATGAGCTATCTACGCCTTGTACACCTACTCAATAGAGAGTCGATCATCAGATGTTATCAATGGTGTGGTTTGGTATGCAGACAAGTGTGTACAGCTTGAAAATAGACAATATATACAATGGATATTTATGATTTTCGTTATTTTGCAAAAATGCTTACTATTCTATCTTTTTAATTGAACCAATCATTAAGTATAGGGTGATCGGGTGAGAACAGCGGAAATTAATCAGCCTTTTTGTTCAAACTTATTTTTATTTCCTCGAATTTTGGCCATTAAAGCAGACGAAAAAGCCTAAATTCCCGAGCAGTTTATCAGTAAATCAATGAAATAATTTATAATTCTTATAATGTTTCCATTTCTATTAGACTTTTGATTTGTCCATAAACTGAAGAAAAGAAAAAGTCGACGAAAACCGATTAAAAAGCCTTTTTTTCGTCGTTTTTTCTTTATTCTTTTAGCTCTAATTTAATTGCATTTTAGCTTTTAATTTCATTGGTTTGGGCATTAGAAATTCATGAATTCGCCTAAAATAAAATAAAATTGAATTGCTATTGTTACTCGTTGAAAGAAATTACATCTTAATGAGATTCCTCGCTGGCTTTTGGCTCGCTTTTTTATAGAATCGAAAGGATTGAAGATAAACTTCGTGGAAAAGAAATTGCCAGCTTTAAGCAATGCACCTCTTTCTGCCCGTCTTTATGCTGCTTCGAACTTATTCAATTAGCACCTAATTTTCTTCAAAATACCTAGTACTTTATTTTCGGACAACTATGGCCATGGCCGTAAAATGCGAAAGAAATTACTTAGCTAAAAATCGGTTCCTCTTCAGATTCTCGAGTTCTTTCAATTTTTCTTAATGTAATATATAATATATAATGTAATATATAAATATATTTTAATATATAAAAATTTTCGCAAGCGTATTCCAAATATTCTAAGTGGAGAGTGGAGGTCGCTGAAATTGAAACTGAAATTGGGATGTCTGTTAGAACGCCTTTTATTATACAATAAAGCCCACAATGCAAAACGTTAGATTTCCCTGACGAAATAGAACCAAAATTACTGAACATTTGAACTTAAACTACGCGGTATGCGGTTGCTTTTGATATTTATCGCTGCGTTTTGGACTTCCAATTCCTATTCGAAATTTCAGTTACATTCCACAGCCATTTATATTTTGAAATCCTCCTTGGTCTGCCATATTTTATGGAATCGGCCATTTTAATTTACAGCGGTGACCAAAATTGTTTTAAGCTGGTTTTCCAAACCATTTTCGAGAGTTCCGAAGCGATAGACGTGGGTAACAAAAACTACTTGCAGATTCGATTTAATGGAAAATAAGAAATGGAATGAAAAAATAAAGTGGAGAAAAATTTTGTATGAAAAACAACCTTTTCCAGACAATTACAGTGGTGGTGAAGAATTTCTGAAAGAACTGAGGAAAAACGGTTGTTGTTTCGCTCATATTTTACTTGCTTCTTTACTTCCTTATTTCTTCAAATGTTCGATTATATTAATTTTATTAACTTTATTCTATTTGTATTAATTTCTTTAATCGTCAAAGACACTAATTAAATTGTGGATTCAGTGGTGTTTAATAGTTAATGAAAAAATAAATGGCCATTTGTTACGTATCTTTGCGATCCACAAGTACATTCATTTGTACAATGAATGGAGGGGGAAGGTGAAGATGTGAGGGAATACTGAGTTTTTTTCGGATATTATATGCTCAACGCATAATTATTAAGTTATCATTAATGGAAAAAAAATTGGCGAGAATACAGGAATGAGTATAGAGGGAAAGGAAGAAGAGTAATCATTTGTTATGATTATTATTATGATTATGATTATTATTATTTGTTAAAGTTTTAGATTTGGTTCCAGTTCCTTAGGAAAAATAAACCTGTCATTAAACAGTGAAGTCTAAGGGATTTGCGATTATGTATTCGTTTATACCTCTCTTTCCAAGTGTTTTTTTGCTGATGGGTTATTTTATGTAAATTTTGTAAATTACCATTTATTTATTTTACTATTCATGACTATTATTCATTATTCATAGTCGCAAATATCCATTATATTATATTTATTTAGTTTGTATTATATAATTGTACGGTTTATAATTATTCATTATTTTTAACATAAACTTTAATTTAAATCGGCACAGTTTATAAATAATAAATTCTGTTGCTGTATTTTAAGATTTCCTTTTCTCAGAAAATGTAGTGGAATATAAATTACTGGAAGCAGTACGCGGTGCAAGTCGTATCGTTATACACGCAGATGCTGTTGTTATTTATCTTTTGATTTTTTATCTTCTTTCGAATTTTCCTTCATATTCGAATGAAATTTCAATGATTATTTTATCACTTTCCTTCCCGCTTTATGGTTTTCATTTGTATTTACGGCGATATCGAAATGCTGCACAGAATGCTGCTGATCATTTGCTCACTTTTGCCATTCTTCTTTCATTCGGTTATGGATTTACACCTATTATTCGGTAATCATTATAACTTTTTTTTTCAAATAGATTTTCTATAAGTTTCTATAAGCTAAATTTAAGCAACGATTTCATTTGAATATTCAACTATGATTGGATATTTCATTTAGCATTTAGCCTTCAAATGTTTAAAAGCGCTAATAATTTTTTGGATGCCATCATCATCATTCACCAGTATTATTCGTTTAAAAAATCTTCAGCAATAATTTATAGCAATTTACTTTTTATAATAAGGGTGGTGGATGCTGAATGGACTGAATGCTGTAAAATTGTTAAATTTTGATTGTTGTTGGAATTTTTTTCTGGTTTAACTTCTCCCGTTAGGCTTAATCTGTTGATTAGGCAGGCAAATTTTCACTTTTTGATTGAAGTGTATTGAATGTCCATACTCCAAATATACATAACGCCGGCAGTAGAACCACATACATTTTTCCATCATTCGTTGCTAGAATACCTTAACATGTTTGTGAATAATTTGCATAAATATTTACAAAAAGGTTTAAAAGAGTTGAAGTTGGAATTGAGGTTATAGCCATTGGTGAGATTTTGTTCACTTTTGCAACATGACTGTATGAGCTAATATGGTGTATGTTCGGTTCAGTTAAATATCCCAACCGATTCGATTTATATTCAGTAAACTAATTGAAAAGTTTTTTCTTCAAGGGAGATAAAGAATTAATTAAATTAAAGAATTAAATTTATTCGTCAGTTTGGCAGTTTTGGAGATTGAGTGGTGATAATTTATTTTATGCAGAGATCTGCAAGGTTTTAAATGGATGATCTTTTCATAATATGAATATACATCTGATTCGATGTTACTGGTTTGACTGTAAGGGCGAGGCATTTCCATGTCTCTTGGTCAAATACCATAGTATGAGAATAAGAGCCATTTCTTTTTACATCATCTGAGGTCACTTGCTCCATACATAATAGAGCCGCCTATGCTTTCAAAATTTGTGGTGCTATCTCCATCATAAGGCTTCATAGTTAGTTGGTTTTATAGCGTCGAAGATGGCCTAATCAGGGTGATTTTGGTAATTCAAATAGTGTTCGAAGGAGTCATTTGAATGGAGTCATTTGTAGTTCTTTCTCCTGGGCACATACAATGTGATTTAGGAAGAATGGTTAGAAAATAATATCTTCATGATATCTTGCATTTTCATTAGCAATATTTTGTAGCTATCTAGCAATACTACGTACTTTATACATTCTAGCAAATAGATTTTTATTTGATGGCAATTTTACGGTAATTCCATAAAGCTTTCGCAAGACGGAAAAAATTTGCTGCTGTCGCTGCTGGAACTGCGTGTTTCGCTTGGTATGGTATGCTTGTATCTATATCCATTTCTTGTGAAGAGAGCCAGAGCAGTAGCGAGAACAATGCATGAGCAACTGGTATTTGGAGCTTCTGGTTTTATTCCCATTTTTTTTTATTTCTTACTCTTACTTTATTTTACTGGGTATGGTATAGTCTACATCAGCGTAAATCCCTACGTGTTAGGAACTAATATATGGTTTTTTAAGTTGTTGGCTTTGGTGTCTGATAATACTTTCACATTATGGAAAGGCAGATCTGATTATTAATTAAACGATGTTGTCCCCGTACGAGAGTTTTCATGATTAATACTGCCTTTCCCTATATAGGACTGGTATCTGGTATATAAGAAAAAGTAGAGTAAAGTATCTGGTTCATCTGGGCGAATCGATGTTGGTTTTTTTTCAGCCAGTTAGTGTAGATCTACAATGAATTCATGGATTTTATTAATCTTGATGACATACAAGCGAACATGATTTTCCAAGGACTTTCATATTTAAGGTAATATAGATAAGCTTTCAGAATCTTTGCCGAAAGGCCATCTTCAGAAGATAAAAGATTAGCTACGATCCGACTTTGTTGCATTATAAATCAGTCTGCCTTAACTATAATGATATATCTGTGCTTCTTTCATATTTACATATATTAGTTCCTAACACGTAGGAATTTACGCTGATGTAGGCTATAAAATGCTTTTATGAGCCGATGATCTTTCAACATCGATATTCTGTTAGGTATCATGTAATGGCTGAATCGAAGGCAGGTGCAAAATCGATAAGTGGTTGCGTTTGTTTTAAGCAGTGCTGTGTTTCAATACTCTTCTTGGTGTGAATATTTGGCCAACACATTTGCGCTCTGTTTTTAATCCAGCGGAGTTAGGATATTGTGCCATTTTGCCATAAATATAATCAACAGAAAGGAAACGAAAATTTTTACAGAGAAATCAGATAGACTAATTTCCTTGGTAGTTGTCGTAGCAGTGCTGTGTTTTATTCCAGTTATCTGATATCAGTTCTTTTCTAAGTGCGTTCTTCGAAGACTAATTCTGATGCTCAACAGAATTTGAAGTCAGCCCAGAGACCATTTTTTTCTATTGGTATTGGGTTTTATTGGGGTTTTTTTGGTTTTAAATTTTGCAATGTCGGCGAATATTTCTTGAAATGCTGGTGACTCGCAGTTGCAATCATATATGATTCAAGGAGCGTTTCAGCCGTGTTTGAGATAATAATGATCCATCTTGGTTAAGTTTATCTTAAAAAAAATCTGTGCCTCATGCGAAACAATTTTGCAGGGCCCTCCTTCAGTGAATATCTCTTGAAAAACGCACTGATTATCGTTTACCCTCATCCATGAATATTCTGTTTTATATATTATTCCATCTGAATAAATTTGTTTTGAATTGATTAGCAACCTTTGGTATAATCTAAATAACTTGAATAACTTCATTGAAAAGATATAAAAAACTGTTTATTTGTGGTACATTGCTCTTCACTTCTTATTGTTGTCTTGCTAATTCCTAAATATTATTTTAAGGACGTTAACGGATACTATTAGCTCAGATACAATATATGCAATGGCTGCAATATTATTCTCATTAAGTTTTATTTTCCATGATTACGCCATGAATGCCCCCGTGTTTGTTTTTTCGTCACTTTTTAACGTACTATTTGTTATATACTTGTATTATGTCATACATCAAATTGTTAATTAGAAACAAGATATGTTCCTTCGATTAAGGAGAGATTTTCGAAGAAGATTTTAATATTAAATTTTTTTTCATCTGATTATTTTGCCAATATCATTTCGGCACGAATTGTATTTTTTTTTAGAGTTTCAATGGCTGTGTCAATGAATCTGTGTCTAGCAGCTTCGGTTTGCTTAATATCTCGTATAAAATCAAATCAAACGGCCTTTTCTCTATTAGTAATATCTATTGCATTTTTTTTCTACTGGCCCATACTGAGGAATGAAATATATTTGTTGTGTCCAAATGCGGCCATTTTATTGTTAATTTTGTTGAGCCCACTAACTTTATATTTACTTTGTGAATTTTCCACCGTCCTTGCTATTGGTTATTTATTTTTTCACTTTTCCATCCTTATAATTTGTCCATGGATTCTCATCAAAATGCAGCCCTTGAAAAGGTTGTTTCTTTTACTTTTATTTATAAAAATTTTTATTTCGAAAGAAATTCAGAAAATTCTATCGCTATATTGTTCATCCACCACTAATTTTATTTATTAACTGCGAAAAGAAAATTTTTATATTTTTGGATACAAATGAGAACAATGAAAACTTGACTTGATTTTTGATCGTCTAAAATCTATTAATATTTTCTAAAGTTGAGAACATTTGAAATTTTATTGAAATTTTCTCTAAATCTGTTATGGTATTTTGCTTTTTTATGGTATTTTAAATAAATTGGTAGCCAGTTGAAATTCGAAAGATAAGAATTTTTGATCGAGAGAATTTCGTTTGAAAGTTCATTTTATTTTGGTATTTTCTCAAGATGGCGGATTCTAATCCCATTTCTTTTTCTATTTCTTTTTTATTTCTTTGTTTCTTTTTTTAGAATCAGTGTAAATTTAATTAAATGTTTCCAGCACAATCCATGGACCATGGGATGAAGCAGTTGTGAATGGGTGAAGCGGTGCTTCGATGCTTTTTTTCAGTTCAATTGTTTGAATCGATTTGTTGTGACAATTTCGTCAATTTTGAGTCAATTCAGTAGAAAAAAATAGAGATTCAATAAAAACAGTAAAAAATATCTTTATTATTATTAGTGTCTTTGAATGTTTTTCCTTGGTGAAAGCGTTTTTCCCTTAATATGTAAAATTTCAATGATCGATCATATTTTCGATATTAGTACTGTTTTCTCATTTTTTTTTATCTCATGAATTTATCAAAAAAAAGTGATTTGTGAAAAAAATGGTTAATTGTTCATATTGATTATGACTGAAATTTAATCCACTTCAAATTTATACAATTTCTCAAAAAACAAATTTCAATTCTTCATGGTTAATTAATTCTTCTTAAATTATTTTAAACAGTCGATTCAATGGATGAATGTATTTAATTAAAAGAAAGGCTTAATTAAGTAAATTCAGTGAAAAGCTAAATTTGCCGATTGTATTTAACAAAAAAAAATTACGAAACATATAAGAAATATTTAAAAATTTGCACTTTCTGATAAAAATATTTGACATTAAACGTAAAATAAGAGGAAATCCAATAAGCATTAAATTCATCCAAAGAAATCTAATATTAATTCAAAGAACTTGTAATTTATTTGATAGGAAGAGAACAGTGCAGAGAAATTGAAAATTGTGTGGAGAATGTGAAAAAGTATTGTGAAAAATTTGAAAAAATTGAGGATCCATTGGGGAATTCAAGGATTTTACCTATAAGGGGGATACCAATATCAATTGCGACGCATTCCTATGTGCAGTCGAGCAGAATATTTCAAATGTGTTGAAATAATTATAAATAATCATAATTATAATTATAAATATGATGAAAACCTTAAAAAAAATTTTTAAAAAAAAATTTTGCAAATAAAAATAAATTTGATATGACGATAATGCGATCCTTATGGTTGGCGCATTTTAGCGACTTCTTCTCCATGATAAAAACGAAGGTCGTCTCAGTGGTCATATCGAATTTTGATCTGCCGGTCTTCAAATGGATTATCTTGCTGAATGCAGATTCAGCAAGATAAATCGAGGGGAAGGCAAGGAAATATGTTTCAAATAAAAATCTGCCTGCAAATATCTTTTTCATCCAAAAATATTTTCCAAAACTGCTAAGCAGATCGCATGCAGCTTGGAAATTGGAAAAATTCTTGGTAAGCTATATTTTCTCAATAAATTCTTAAGCTTTCCGAGGATAATGGTGTTGCAACTTGTTCTCCATGAGATTACAGTTCCCGCTCCCTAAGCTTCAGTTTTTTTAGTTTTTTCAAAGCATCACTAAAATGGTTCCGTTTTGCGATTTCCATACTCTTTATTTTAAAAAAGTGCGTTCAAGGTAAAGTTTTCTACACCTAAATTTAGAGCGCAGAAACAATGCTCGATGGTCTATGGTTATCGAATAATTTGTGAAAAAACGATTTGACTTGAAATTCACGCTTTTTATGACGAATGAAAGCGAATTATGAAGCGTCTCTCCCTGTTTTTTCGTCTTTCGCTGGTTAGAGCACTCTAATCCTTCTCATTCTCTATCCTCTACCACAAGAGTTGTCGCATATTTCATTACTTGCTAAACCGTGTGATGAATGGCGTCAAAAGCGAAGTGGGCCAATTAAGGCCTGGACTGATACGGTCAGAAAAGATTTTGAAGGTATAGGTGGACCAGCAATACATGGACTTAGAAGATGGAAAAAGGAATGGCTTTTATTGCTGTGCATCAGACCTTGACGATGGCATCATATCGCGCCGCTTGGAAGCGTCTTACCCTTGTAGCCACTGGAGCCAGCCTAATCAGTTATGGTGAGAGGTGTTAGAAGAAGTTTTTTAGTAGTGCAAAGTGAAGTTATAAGTGATAAAACTTCTATATCTGCCAATCATCACTGATACATCTATGAATATTCTCCTGGGAAATATTTCTTTTCAAATAATTTCTGAACTTTTCAAACAATCGCTTACTGTAATTACCGTAATTGTACTATAAATTATTTAATTATAGAGCATTTTGCACGAATTCATGCTGAAATTTTTTTTAATGGTGGTAATACGTAACCAGTGACTGTTTAAAAAATTCGTAGCGATTTATGCCATTGCCCACTTTACATGAGCCTAATTTTAATTTTTTAGCCAATGTGTAATTCGTCAGTGTACAAATCGACAATGTATAGTGTGCATGTTGGACTTAGTTGATCTTGATAAACCAATCTGAGCACTGTCTGGCTGAATCCATTGCAGAAAAGTCTATACGACTCAGCGCTACTGGCATCTAATCTATAAACGACTCTGAAAACGACAAATGGCTATCAAATGCAGCGTATTTCAAGATGATGCACTGTCACTGCTGCTGTATTGTAGCTGGGAGAGATATGGAGGCTATGTGGGGATGTGGAGATCCAGAAGCCTTCAGAATGTGTGGAGGCATCGCTCCAAGTCCAATACTCGAAGACAGTCGTGAAGGACGAATATTAAAGCCATTATCCTGAATGGAACTCCGAGCAAGAATACAATATTAAGATGGCAATCAAAGGAATACTTGAAACAAAACAAGAGGAAGATCAAGTAGAGGAAGTGCCATGACAAGGCAATACTCTATATGGAATGCACCGTCGACAGACAACTGAATTAGTTGACATTTGCAACAAGGGATGCAAAAAGTTGAACTGAAAAACAACACTGAGGCATTGATTATATCAGCAAAAAGAAGTACCAAGCGCAAGACCCATAGAAACAGAGATTGCAACATGCAATATCCATATTCGATTAAGCCACAGAGAATATTTAAGGCATAGAGGCTGGTTGAATGCAAGTAGGGTAGTGTATAGCATTACCAAGTAGCTGGCAGTGTCTAAAGGAGTTGTATTGCAGATGTATGGGTTAGACTCTCAAAAATCAGATAAGAGATTTTATAGAAAATCGTTGAGAATAACAGGGTTAAGACATATGCTCATAACGGTAGACAAGAACAAGAAAACAGCAGGTGGTAGATATAGTGATATTAAAGACACAGTACGAGAAGAAGAAATATCAAGGAAAAAAATTTGACTGTGGAAGGTGAAGATGTTCCCAGTTGGAATAGTACTCCTATGCTGGAAAAGATCCCTTAACAAATTATAGAATTCAAAAATTTATGTGTAAATTTGTTCCGAGGACATCATAATGATTTTGGTGCGCTCCATGGTAAGATAACTGTCATCGAGACTCGAGGCTTAGATATGAATCAGAATGACCATGTCACTTGGTCGTTGCTCAACTCGGAGCAGCGATGCTGGCGGCTCATTTGCACTTCTATCGTCAAGGGAACCACAAACATATTTATCTAATCCGAAAAAACCAGCTAACTGAGTCTAATTAGCAATGGTGAATATTCTTAAAAAAAAAATTATAGGAGATATTTTAATCTTGAATAATACAAAAATATGGCGACGCAAATCAAGCTTAGTTTTATCTTTCAAGTTCGGGTTTTCATGTAATTTATGAGTAAACATTTCTAGAAACCTCACCATATATCCATAAGAAAAAACCGCACTAGTCCGATCCTAAGAGACTATAAATACGGAATATAAAATTTTCATGAAATTTGAATGAATAGCCTTATTTTGTAATTTTTTATTTCGAATTTATTCCTTTGTTTAAAGCGATATTTTTTTTTAGCCAGCATGGTCGAAATAATTATAGATTTTTGAAAAATCAATTTTCTTCGATCATTCCATGAGGCTAATAAATTTAATAGTTTTAATAATTTTCCCCAATTCATAATTTTTTGGAAATTATTTTAAATCATTATCATCAATAAATCACCTTAAATTATATTTATGCTTCATAAAAGGTATTTCAAATATTTTTATCAAAATTTTCTTTGCACTGAAAAGGGAGCAGTAGCGATTGGAGGAGAGTCAACTGTTTTTCTTCCTTCATCAAAGCATTCTTTAATAGCTTTTTACGATTATTTCGAACTAATTTTTGCTTTATCTGTAAATCGAGAGAATAAAGTAAATTTTTCTCCATATGGAATACTTGTATACGATAATAGGCTTTATTGGGATTTTGTTCTTTAGAATTAATATTTTTTTCTTGCTTGCCAAAATGTCTGTTTATTTTTTCAGCTGGCCATTGCCTAATTCATTTTATCGAAAAATAGGTTCAGTGCATCCAACCCTAATGATCTTCCATAAAACTCAACTAAACTGCACTCCATTCACATTTCAACAAAATATTTTGAAGCTATATCTGCTATATCTTAAATTAAACAGAAATGAGAAGCATAATTATTTCCCAACTTTTATTTACGATAACTTGTACTTTTATGCTTTTTCACTAGAAAACTAATTATATATCTCATATCACGCGCAAAAAGCAATTGCAGCTAAAAATACTGAATTAAAATATTATATTAAAAAGAGAGCGTAAATTTTTTAAGCTATGGCAACCTCCGACTCCAACTAATAGATTCCGTGGCGAAATGTGATCTTACCTCTTACCACTTATTTATCACTGTAGATTGCTAATAGTATTCATGCTCCCATAAAAAGCGTTATGCTTTTTTCGTAAATTTCCTATCAC